ACTAATTTAACTAAATAAATATAAGAAACTAAGTAAACTTAAACAACTATATAAACTTAGTTAACGACGTTATCATCATTTCTGAGGTTTTGATCATTTTGATCGTCGGGCTGCGGCTTAAGAAATTACGGCTTTCTTTAGTAGTAATCTGCAGAATTATAATAGCAATCACCCTTTTCGAATTATCTCCGCTCCTATTAGTCCAATAACCTTGTTTTTATATTTGTTGGAAAGCTCTTGATGAGACAGTTCTAATGATCGTATTTTCATCAAAATTGTAATTATTAGGTCGAAAGTTATTTCATTTAACAATGAGATGTGACTGAAAAATATATCAAATAGGATTCGACATATCAGGCAAAAGCATAAGGTGCAAAGTAATGTAAACACTATGCTTAGTAAGCCTCACTACGTTTATAACCAGCAAAAAAATATTTGTATGAACAATACTTTCTTAACTTCTTCTCCTTTTCCGAAAAAGCCTGTCCAATATCAGAGTTACTATTTCCAAAGGAAATCTTGGATAGATAAGCCACGTTTATTGACTTCTTCTCCTTTATTACTAAAGCCTATTACATTAATGAGTAGCTTCGAGAGATATACTATGTGACGTAGTATAAGTGTGCCAGAGATTTCAGCCTATAGATTTGAAAGAAACCAGGTCTTGATTGATGCTGAAGCATATTTCGATTCTGTATGGAAGATAGACTTAATATCTTTCAACTGAATATTATTATTATTATATATTTCAACTATATTTATCCAAACAACTTTATTTTTTTGTGAAATATAATCTGCATACATAATTGCCTAGTATAATTGTGAAATGCTCATAAACATGATCTGTCTATTCTGGGTTAGATCCTCTAATATATAACTATTTTAGTAAAGCTTTTCAGAAAGATCAATGAAGCGATCTTAAAGGTTCTTGATTCCTAAATACTACTATTATTATAGCTTTAAAAATTTCTATGCAACAGTTATCCAGCGAGCTTATGGGAATTACAAGAAGAAACCTGAATCTTCAGCAAAATGAGTTTGGAAAGCAGTGAGGAATAATGGTATTCCTGATAGAAAGAAATTCTTAGGTATACTTAGATATAATCAGATGGTAAAAAATCCTGAGATGCAAGAAGAGTATGCTAAAGCTTGCAATGAGTTTTATGTTTTATTTAGAGAAAGTTACTCAAAATATATTGTAATAATTAATCCAGTTAAATTAACCCCACTATATGAGAAGTATATTTATTGTTCTTCTAGTAGATATATAGAAGTTAAGAAATATCAGTTAGGATGACGATTGAATAATGTAGTATACAGGAGCATTAAATTCTCGCAAAGGTTTCTGTTTGAATTGTTATCTACTATTGACTATTATGAAAAGTACTTAAAAAATCAATAATATCTTTTTACTACCCAATTTAGGATTACACTATTTTTTTACTTCCACTCCGCCACAATGCATGTAGGCATGTGCGACATAAATTAGCACATTTTTGGATCTTCATTATAGTATATATGATGTAATAGATGATACTCCGCAAATCATCTGTGAAACTATGCTTGTGCGACAAAATAATTTCACACATAAATCGATTCCCCAAAATATTTCGAATTTTTCCCTTACATTTAGCGGAATAGCATTTAGCAGAATATCATGTATATTTGCTCCGGAGGGACGGCTATTTCTATTCTGAGTAGAGTAATATCTATATAACGTTGTCGGTCTCAGTAATAAGCGGTCGGACGAGTAAAAAAAAGTTCGTATATGCATTATCCCCAACGCCTTTGAAAATGTTGAGATCTTCAATGCACATTCCACATGCCCTTATTCTCGAACACAAACTTTTGACGTAAAGTGCTTTGCATATTCTTCTACTTCAACCCCAACATGAACTCGGGCTTAGAGAAGACGTGAATGGAGAGATTGCAAAACATTTAAAAGGACAGTATATGAAATTTGGAATTATAGTTGCTTATTTTTTACCAAGCGTTATACTAACAAAAACTCTTATATCTTAAATTAGTAAATATGTCTAGCTCATCAGCTGAAATCTTCGCTCTATTATACAACTTTCTAAAGACCTCTTCCTTAGATAAAATAACCACTTCTAGTATAATTACCCAACAGTGGAATTGTTTCAAAATCCAATCGGAAAACGAAGATTTCGATTGTCTTATGGGAATATTAAAGGATATGGAAAATGAGATTAATGATGATAAGCGTAAACAGCATCTTAAATCATTGCAGAATATTAACCAAGTAATTTACATTATTTTTGTTCTTTCTACAATAGGAATAAGATGATGAATATGTTGTCTAGACAAAAATAAGTGTAGTGCGATTGAAAAAGTGACATATTGTCAGCGAGAATCTCTTTCATTATACTTACGATGATTTTTAAGGACAATAATGCCGGCTAATTCTGATTAGGATGGGATTTTGCGCAAAAAATAAAATAATGATGTCTTCCTGAATTTTATTAATCCATCCATTTATTTTTAGATGCGATTCATTAGAAATGAGCTAATTTCATTAAAAGATATGGGGTTCTTACGAGGAAAATTCGAAGAAGAAGTAAATTGGAAAACTTTAGCCTTAAATAATATAACGCTTTTAAAAGATAAAATTAAGGTAATCAATATATGTATTTCTTATCTCAGAAATTCCAATTTCGTGTTTTTTGAAGTTTTCTCATAAAATAAATATTTTTGATTGGATTAGAAGAAAGATACGTCAGCGCACAATCATATTCTTATGACAATAAGTAGTATTGATATTAATAAAATATCAAACGATGATCTGCTATGTATTGGAGTAATAGACCTTAGTTCAGAAAAATATAATATACCGGAAAGTAATTACGAATCCCTTGTTGTATGTATACCTTTATTTTTTTCCTTGATGAATTAGCTACTAAAATTACATTTTCATGTATTAATTACTTCTTATATTTGTAGGGAGAGAAGACTAATATAAGAAACTTAAGCAAAGATGCAGGAGTAAAGAAAATATGCAACGAATTTATATCTAAGAGGAATGAAGTTCATAAATTACGAAAATTTGTGTTGCCTTCGAGAGATATTGTAACGCATGATCAATGGATTGAAGATGATCATATCAAGGAACGTATAGCTGGCGGAATTACTGATATCCTTTTACAGGAGATTAAGCTGAACGCACTTCAAAGAGTTTCTGGAGGATCTGAAAATACATTAGTAGAAATTATTGCTCGCTTAATAGACATGGCTATGTATCATTTACCTGTAAACTACAAGGTTGAAGTTACTAGGGCTGAGCGTCAAAGTAAAGCTAGCAAAAACCGCAAAGTTCAGCAAAAAACTGGATCAAGAGGAGATAAATCTGATCTCATGTTCTGTGCTTACCTTCGCCAAAAGTGAAAGGAAATCGTTTTCTTCGAAAGTGGAAAATGGGATACTGATGAAGATAAAATCTGCCATGATCATAATAAATTAGTTCAACTCTGTTTGGATGGCACTAAAGAACTTGTAAAAAAATGCACGAAAGAAACATTCTATCGAAATTATATAGGATTCGGGGTTAATATTGTAGGTAAGTATCTAGAGATCCATGGTTTAATAATGGAAAAGAGATAAAATACCATCTTCCAGTCATTAAAGCAAAAATACCCCTTGGTAAAGAGTCAGTTGAGGAAATCGAAGAGTTCGTTCATGCTCTATTGGTTTTGTGAGTAAGTGTTTCCTTATTTCTAAATATATACTTAGTTATATAATGATACTGATACAAAAATCTCTATTTCCAGAATGGGGTTATTGTTAATTTACAGAGTATCGTAAATAGTTTCCAAAAAAGATCAAGGAAGACGAGTGATATAAGTCCTCTATCACATAAAACTGGAAGATTAAGCAAGAAAAATAGTGCGAATTTCTAAAAATATTTCTTTAGATTAGCTATGGTAACATATCATATTTGTATTTTATCAATAAAGTGCACTGGTGACCGATTATTTTTACATATTCATCTGTATTTTTTCGTGTGGGATATGCATCGGATAATAAAATTTTCTTAGCATTTTTTCACTGACGGGCCGTGAGGAAAAACATGTGATTTTTTATTTTTGAATATAAAACATAAATAATACTATATTACGCTAGTATGCAATCTGAAATAGATGAGACCGATTCATTGAAAATATGCATTGCCAGGCTTGAGGTCGAAAATGCCGAACTTAGAAAGAAGTTTGCTAAGATTGAAGCCAGGAATGCTGAGCTTAAGGCCAGAATTGCGAAATTGGAAGATAAGCAAACACAGAATGAATTAATAAAAAATTTGCTATCTACATTAATATGATAAAAACTGTTAACTTAGTCAACGATCTTCTGGTGACCATTGATCACGTGATCAGAGCCTAACCAATCCCCTATCAGATGTGACGCAATTCGTGATATTGGGCGCGTAAATTTATAGTGCTATATGCTATAGGTCTATTTCTTGCATGCAAACTTTTTTTACGCAAAAGTATATCTAATAAAATGTTCCACTCTGACTATAAATATATTACTGATAGACTACCCGAAAGTCTTATCAAGAGTGCTTGCCAGAGACTCTTGCACCATTTTAAAAATCCTGTCCAATTAGAATCTATTTCCAAGAAGTCTGAACGAATTGAATCCTATTTGAGGTACACATTAGAGATTTATGAGAATTCGTTAAATAGGAAACGCAAATCTATGACTCAGAAGAAATTATTGCATCCTCGAAGCTGGCCAGAATGTAATGTATTCCCAGCATCACCAGCTATATATTGTAACCCAAATGATCCTTAGAAAATTGGAAGTGTGACGCAGTAAAGTGATCTGCAAATGATCATCATGTGAATTGATCTACAAGAATCAATGACACAATAATCG